TGTAGCCCCCCCCCCCCCCTGCTCCTCCTCCTCTCCTCCTCCTCCTCCTCCTCCTCCTCCTCCTCCTCCCCCCATCCTCCTCCTCCGCCCCCTCCTCCCCCCCCCATCCTCCTCCTCCTCCTCCTCCTCCTCCTCCTCCTCCTCCTCCTCCTCCTCCTCCTCGTCCTCGTCCTCCTCCTCCTCCTCCTCCTCCTCCTCCTCCTCCTCCTCCTCGTCCTCCTTGTCCTCCTCGTCCTCCTCGTCCTCCTCCTCCTCCTCCTCCACCCCCCCGCCCCTCGCGGCGCCAGGGACGCCCGAACGCGGCCTCGATGCGCCCAGAACGGCCCGAAGGAGCCCCGCGGCCGCCCGCTGCGGGCCCGGGGGGCGGCCCCAGCTGCGCTCGGGAGGCCCCGCTCGCCTGCTTCTCGGCCTTCACGCAGTGGTACATCTGGTGCTTCAGGATGCTGGCCTTCGACATCGCCTCGCCGCGCGCCGCGCGGCGGGAGCACACCGAGGCGGACCGAGGCGAGGGACGAGGAGGAGGGCGCCGCTCGGCCCGAGGCGCGCCTTCAGCGCGAAGCACCTGAAGGTCTTCGGGCATCTCACCAGCGTCACGGTGCCAAAGTTCCCCGTGCCTGGGTCGGTGTCCCGACTCACTCCTCGATCTCGCATCCCTCCCCCTCTTCTTCCCTCCCCCCCAAAATCCTTCTCCTCCTTCGTCCTGAACCTTGTGCCCCTCCTCCCTCTCTCCTTCTCTACCCTTTTCCCTTCCTCCCCAGATCCTCCCCATCCCCCTGTTCCTCCTCTTCCTCCTCCTCCTCATCATCCTCCTCCCTTCCCCCCAAACCCTCCCGCTGGTAGCCCTTCTCTACGTCCCCTCGCCCCTGTCCAAGGGCTTCGACATGACGGTTGGACAACGACGTGTGGCCCCGTAAGGCTGTGCATGATGAAGGTTGCATGATGAAGGTTGCATCGAGATCGTCAACGTACCTGTCGTGGTCGCCGTGGTTGCCACAAACGCCACAAACCTGCAAAGTGACACTCGTCAATATCACCACTGCGGTCGTCACTGATGGGAGAGTCAACTGTCAATAACGAGGACAACTAAACTTATGAGGGAATAGAAAGCACACGGTGATGAGGACAGCCGCATGCCTACGAGGATGTGGGGAAGCCGCAATGATGACAATGATGAGACTCACCACCATCACGTGCGGGGCCACTGTGAAATTACCACTCGTGATCCCGACGGCTGCGACGATGGACAGCCACCGCTCCCTGCAGCTAGGCACTGCCGACGACCTCTCGGCCAGGCCACCGCGGTGCGCAATATGGGCCGGCGGAGTGAGCGAAGCGATTAAATAATTTCGAGCACCCAGAGAAGTGTCGAAACAATGTCGAACGAAAATCGCCTCCCAAAGCCCGACACGTGGAAACCCTCCAGCTTCGGTACTTTCTTGGTGCTCGAAATTCTTTCTGGCGGTTCAAGCTAAAGTAGGTTGGAACATCATAACGGTATGGGGCGGACTGGGTCAGGAGGAAGAAAGACTTAGTGCGCCGGAGCGAAAGGAGAGGGCGCGTATTCGAACTGTGCCATCAACTTCGCCGATAGAAGCGGTGAACGTAGAACCGCACGATGGAATTATGATTACGTGCTTATTGTGAACCTGACCGCTGCACCAGGATAGCACCGAGCCAAGGTCAAGTGTAGGGGAGCGCACGAGTTTGCAAATTCTCTGTCGGGCTCCAAACAATGAACCACCCAACCTACCGGGTGCAACCAAGCGAAGCCATCTCTCATGTGCGATCTGCGATGGGGCCCTAGCGTGTGGGACCCAACCGAGTGGGACCCTATGGTGTGGGACACTGTCGTGTGTGACTGTAATGTGCAGGACCGTTCCGAGCGGGATTTACCATGTGGGAGCCGATGGCGTGGGACCCTATCGGATGGGGCCCAGTTGCGTGGGACCCGATGGTGTGAGATCCTTTCGTGCGCGGTGTGAGACCCTGATGCGTGGGATTCTTTGGGTACAAAGATACTGCCAGCCGTTGGGGACCCTGTCGTGTGGGGCGCTATCGTGAGGGACGCGATCGTGTAGGACATTACCGCGTGGGACCCTATCGTGAGGAACCCTCTCGTGTGGGGCCCTATGGGCCCTCTCCATCGCGTCCGTGAGTACTTCGAAGAATCATGGCCAAACTCTCCAAATCGATTGGCTGCTTTCTCACGCAACAGGAGGGGCACTTGTCCAACTTGGTGTTTGGCTAAGAGCGATGTCCCATGGACAGGTGACCCTCAACGTCTACCGATGCTGCAATCTGGAGCTCTCATCTCGGCAACAATCAATCAAGCAATGTGCGCATTGACGCACGCTTCGAAAGCCTCTCCTTCCAAGCACACCAGGGAACCGCGTGGGATACGACAGGCTCCTCGCCGCCAGTGCAGTAGGCCGGGGGAAGAGAGCTGGGCATGATTAAGCCATGGCTTATGCGACTAGCAAAAATGCCCAGCGGGAAAATTCCGCTTGACGTAGCTTCGCCAAACTTGCTGGATGGGTGGACGGCGCATGCTGTAACTATGTACCCCCTCCGTCTGCCCTACTAACGCAGCGAATCGCGCCTTGCGTTCAATTATTGAGGCCCCACATAATCAAACGCATCTCTTGGCGGACGCCCTCCGCGCACGGCGTCGCGCTCGAGACAGAACTTCCTGAGCTACACTGGCTTGAATCATAATGGCTACGGCGGGTCAGGGATGAACGATAGGCAAGACACGTCGACACGGCACAAGGCTAATTATGTAAGGAATGCCGTGGGCATCGTCCTCGCTCGTTGAGAATGTCGGGCGGCAAAGGTGAACCGGCAACGACAACCTCCGAACTCAACGTCCTCGCTGCATCCTCGGACTCAGCGTCTGTCCCATCCTCATCATCCGCCTCGTCCCCAACCTCCTCATCACCTGCCTACTCTGGCGATGTCCTCCCCCTCCTCCTACTTGACAGATCTCTTTTCTTTTCATCGTTCAGGGTCCTTCTCTCGTCTCCTCCTAATGTCCCCTTGCCTGCATTATCGACCACGGGTGACATGTTGGGCTTGCGGCGGAAACGGAGCTATAAGACTGCTGCCCATGACGCCGATGTGCTCCAGCGAGTCGAAGTCGTATAGCGTCTCCGCCTTGCGCTCGCGCAAGTTCGCGTCGCTCAGGCTGCTCAGGTATCTGTAGTTTGCTGCCGTTTGGATCGCAGCTTGGCCACGCCCGCTTCGCACGCGGCCCCTCTCGGCAAACACAGATCCTGCCCTGTCCCCCATCTGGCCCTGCCCGCAACTCCATGCGGCCCCCCCGCGCCGACGAGCCTGGGGAAACGCCAGGGGGAAGATTCGGGCTGGCGATGCCATGCTGGATCTGGATCCCACTGGGGCTGATCATGGATCCCCATGATGCCGAACCCAAACGGGGGCCGAACCAAGGATGGGGCGCTGGCCTCCCGCAAGAGGCAGGCGTGGCAGCGGCGTGGCATTCCGCGGCGACCCTGCAGCCCTCCTGCCTGCTCGACATCATCTGTCCTCCGCCTCCCCCGTCCTCCTCCTTCTCCTCCCTCCCTGCCTCCCTGGCTCCCTCTCTACCTGCGCCCTGCGCCTCTACCCGCGGCACTCCTCCCTCTGATCGAGCTCCTCCTCCTCTTCCCTCCCCCGCCTCCGCCACCTCCTGTCCCGTCACCCGTCCGTCCGCCCTCCCCCCTTCTCTTCCTCCCTCCGCCTTCCAGCTCACCCCCCACTCCATACCCCTCCCACCTCCCTAGTGCCGCGTACGTTTGTTTCTTTGCATTGAGCCAGTTGCAATGACGGGGGGCGGTGGGTTCTCGAAATGTGGCATGCCATGCCACTTCCTCCGATCCAGCGACCAGAATCCTGAGCAAGATTATGCAACGGCTGCACGGATGGAGGGCAATTCCTTTTCAAAACGGAGCTCGCGCTGTAGACCCCCTCACCCTCCCAGGCCGAACATGACAATTCGTGCAGCCGGTACACGGGCGGAAGAATGTGGGGTCGCCCGTGGGTTCCGCGGAGTGGAATCGATCGATGCTATGCGCAGGCGCTGGGAAGCACCGATCGGCCCGTGGGCACACCTGACCATCCCTGGGAACGGCCCTCCGAGCTGCTGCCAGAGCCTCCCCCCGCACGCGCTTTGCTGAGCATCGCCCAGCAGGTGGTCGAGCATGTTGCAATCGACGAGCTTCCCTTGGGCAGGTGCACCTGGTGAGTATGAGCACTGCTGCTCCGAGGCACACTGTTTTGGTCAACGTCCAACACCCACTGGAGGTGACCTCAATGCCACCCAAACAACCTTCGTCTGCGTTGAAGAAGGCTACTCATGACTCTCGGTGCGGCTGTGCCAGCTCAGTGGTCCTGAAGTGGGACGGGAGTGAGGGTGGAGAGGACGAAGGTGAGGGGCGTGAGATATGGGGAGAGCGGGGAGGTGGGAAAAAGGAATCAGCGAGCCTGGTGCGCTCGCACCACATACTGTCCCTTCCTTCTGGCGATGTTCAATTGCGCTCATCCCTTTCCATTGGACGAACACGGGTGTGAGCTCGAAGCAGGACTCCAGGGTGGTGGCGCCCGCAGTGCCTCAGCCCCGACAGGCAGAGCACAGTGGACGGGGCAGGAGGGGTAGGGGAAAGACAAGAGAGAAGGCAGTTCGGTCGGTGAGCGCAGCGGCGGCACTCGGCGCCTTCCAGACCCCTCACGGCCGGAGATGGAGAGGTGAGGCCAGCAGCAGGGGGGGGGGTGGAGAAGCAGCGGGGAGGCGGGGGACGGAGGCACACTGGACGAGGGCCGAGGCAAGCTGCATGCCGGAGATGCAGGACGCACAAGACTTGTGTCGGAGAGCCCTGGAGAAGGAGGCCGGAGGCAGGGGGACGGAGGCAGACTGGACGAGGGTCGGGGCAGGGTGCACGCAGGAGACGCGCGCAAGACTCTTGTGCCGGAGGGCCCGGATAGGAGCCTGCTTCCGCAGGGGCTGCTCAGCATCCCCGAAAGGCCTGGCACGGGGAGCAAGCCAGTGCCGTCCAAGCGTTGCTGCCATCGGGCTCCGTCACTTCCTCGCCCGCATTCTCCAACTCCCCCGCATCCCCACCAACTCCAACTTCCCTCCCGGCCCCTCATCTCGTAGCAATCCTACCCTACCCTGCACCCCATGATCACTTCTCCCTCCTGCCTCCGCCGCTCCCCCTCAAGCCCCAATTCCCCTCGTCCTCCGATCTCCCCGCTGCCGCATGCCAAGATCCCTCAATGGTCCCCCCCCCCCGCAGCTCGACCACTCTCGGCCCTCGTTTCCGGGGGCTGCTCGTTTCTCCGCCCCTCCTCTCGCCCACCAAAATTGAACTTACATCCCTGATGCAAGCTCTTAACCTTATCCTCCCCTTCCTCCCTTTCACCAACACTCATCTTCCTCACCCGCATCCTCCTCATGCTGCTGATCCGTCCCGAGTGCTAGCAGTCTTCCTCCTGCCTCCGTGGCTGGAGCAAGCTCGACCCCCCCGATCAAATCCGCCGCCGTGCCTCGACGATGTCGACGTGTTAGAGTGCGAACTGCAGTCTGGTAGGGCTTCTGCATTCTAACAATGGCACCCCTCACTCTCGTAGCAGAATGGGCCGTTCAGCCCCAGCCCCTTTCCCGAGGCCGCGATCCCTCGTAAAAAAAGTCCGTGCTCTCGAAGCCACGACCCCTTATCAAAACCGATGGACCCGCATCCTGAGCTTCTAAGACGGCCCATGCTGGCTCAAGGTTCTTCGAATACGGGCCAGACTGTATCAAACAAGACACACAAGGGCCTCAAGAGGACCACCTCGAACAAGGTCCCAAGAAGCCAAACTCATTTCCCCACCCGACAGGTTGAACCTGCTAGATTTGAAGAACTCCCGTCTGCGCACCCTGCTAAACGCAGTCGCCACACCCACACGATCCTGGGAATCGCTGAGTGCCCCACCTCGCGTCCACGACGACTTACGACACCGTACATACCACAACGCCCCGCGAGGGAGGCGTCACGGCGTCACGCCGTTCAGGCGTCACGACGCATGAGCAAAAAGGTATTAAGACTCGGCATCAAGACCACAAAGCAAAGAAGACATCTAGATCAGAGCAGCAGTACTAGACCACAGCAGGTAATAACAGGGCGCACCATGCCATAACCAAACAACGCATACCCCACCAGATCAACTATATAATATCATACCATGTCTTGCACATCATGGGATAACGCAGAATCTCGTAACACGCGGCATAATAATATAACACACCGTACTGTGACAGAACGTGGCATACCCGTACCATAATAGAACCTACACAAACCTTAGTTACATGTCAGACCGGATCGACGTATGCTTCCAACGTAGCAGCGAGAACAGCATACCATGAACGCTTCTGGCATTCTTGTCGCGGGGTTCATAAGCGTGCAGACCAAGCAATACTATACGAACAGTACATGCCACAACACAACATACCACAGCACCACATGACATATAGTACCACGGGCCAACAAGGTAGACCAAGGCATGACAGCACACAACATCGCATAACCAATCATCCCATGACATAACGAATCATACTGAAAATTAACGGGGCATGCCGTGTTATATGATGGCATACTCAAGCATAATACACCATGCGACTGCTATTACTGTTACCACAGCGGCAGCAATCTCAGTACGACATACAACTTCACACCATAATTGAAGAGAGTTGCCCGAACATAACATAGTATAACATACTGTACTTACCATATCATAACCGGGTTTGAGGATCGTTTGGCCCCCCTGCGTTTTTTTAGAAAAAGCGAAATGGCGTACGCCACCTCAGGTTCCAGTTCGGTTTCGGACCCCGCGAGTTTCAGATTGTATCCAGAAAGCCTCTGTCTCACCTCCTCCATTTGTAGCATACGGAAGGAGGTGAGTGCATCCCTCCTCGTCCGCCTCCCTCTTCCTCCTCCTCCTCCTTCTCCCACTCCTCCTCTTCCTCCTCCTCCTCCCGATCAGACTCCCCGATCGAAGGCGGAATCAAGCAAAACCATGGGAAAAAGCAAAACAAACAAAGAAAACAAAAAACACGCAATCCTGAGGGAACTTCCTGGGGGGTGGGGTGGAGAGGGGGGGGTGGAAGTCCCTCAGGATGGCTTTTTTTGCTTGTTCCAAGAATTTTGCTTGATTCTGCTCCGTAAAAGGGATTGAGGAAGGGGGGGATAGGCGGAGGGAGAGCGATATGAGGCAGAGGAGGATGTGCAGAGGAGGCGGATGAGGTGCAGGAGGAGAAGGAGGAGGATGAGTATGAGGCAACGGAGGGTAATAAGGAGCAGGAGGATGCGATGGAGGAGTGGTGTGGGGAGCAGCAGAATACGTAGGATGTAGAGGAGTAGGACCATGATGATGATGATAAAGAGGCGGGCAAGCGATATGATAAGGAAAAGGAGGAGGCGGCAGATGATGAGGATCGCTGCTCATCCTCCTTCTTGTTTTATTCCTCCTCCTTTTCTTCGTATCCCCCACATGGAAGACTGCGGAGAGGGAGTGATATTCATCCTCATGCTCCTCTTCCTCCTCCTGCTCCCTCCTCGCGTCTCTCCTCATCCCTCGTCCTCCCCCTCCTCTTCTCTCCTCCTCCTTCCTCCTTATCCGCCTCATACTCCGCCTCCTCCTCCTTATCATAATCTTCCTCTCTCCTCCTCCTTTCGCTCCTAGCATCATTCATCCTTCTCATTCCCCTCATCTCCTCATCATCCTCGTCTTCGATCCTTTCCACTTATTTCTGCTTCTGTCCTCCCCCTCATCTGCGGAATCCTCTGTATCTGAGATCTGTTCCGTTTCTATTGAAACCCGAATCGGCCCCGATTCAAATCCATTGGGAATCTTCTGGATCTGGGATCTGCTCCGTTTCTTTTGCAATCTGATGAGAACCCGAACCAAATTCAATAGGGACCCTCTGGATCTGGGATCTGCTCTTTTCCTATCGTAATATGATCACAAACTTGATCAAATTAAATTGGAATTCTTTGGATCTGGGACCTCCCCCGTTCCTGTTGAAATTAAATTAGCATCCTATTCAAATCCAATGAAAACCCTTTGGATTTAGGAGATGCTCCGTTCCTATTGAAATCCGGTTAGGGTCCTATTCAAACTCAATAGGAATCCTTTGGATATGGGATCTGCTCCGTTTCTAATGAGGTTTCCTTCGGATCCCATCCAAATTCAATATGAATCCTCTGGCTCCCGCCTGAAAGGTCCCCCAACAAGCACTCAAAACGAGGCTCCCGCCTGAGAGGTCCAAACAAACATTCAAAAAGGTCCAAACAAACAAACAAACACACGACATCATACAACACGCAACGGACAGCTCCTTCCTCCCCCCCCTCTCTGAATCTGGGGTCTGGTCCTGGCCTATTGAATTGCGATTTGAATCCTATTCAAATTCACAAGTCTTTGAATTCCTATAACGCTCTGTCGATCATCGCCATCGCCGTTCCGCTTGCTGCTGGCGATGCCGACGTCGCGCTATTCAGCATTCGGTTCCCTCAGCCCCCGAAAAAACAGAAAGGGGGGCCCGCTGCGGCCCATGCAGTTTTTTTCTGAAAAACGCAGGGGGCCCAAACGATCTTCTAACCCATAACCGAACATCTCATACCACACAGGAGCACTGCATAGCATCGCACAGCATGCCTTACCATCTCATACAATAACCGAGCGTAATCGTCACAACACCGAGGGTACCATCCCATACCAAATGACACTGTGACAGGGTGTGGGATCCGCCGGCCCCCTTGCGGGGCCATCAGGCTGCGAGGGGCAGGCTTGCTGCTCACTGCACCAGTTCCAGCTTCCAGTTTCCATTGTTACAGTACTGCTTCCTGCTTCCTGCTGTAAATTGTTACTTTCCGCGCGAGGGGGTGAGCCGAAAACCACCCTGGTTAGCGTACCCCGGGAGGGTTCTCAGAATTTCTGGGGGGGCGTAGGACAAGCAAAAATACAATAGTTTCGTGCCCCCCGAAACATAACCCCTTGCAAAGTATGCTGTATTCGCGCCCCCGAGGCCACGATCCCTTGTGAATTACACCACGCTCGCGTCTCCGAGGCCACGATCCCCCGTAATGTACGCCACATGTGCGTCTCCGAGGCCACGATCCCATGTAATTTGTATCATTTTCGCGCCCACGAGGGCACGATCCTTTGCAATTTACGCCACAGTGGCGCTCCCGAAGCCACGATCCCGTGTAATTTACGTCATTTTCGCGCCCCAAAGGCCACGATCCCTTGTAAATTAATACAAATGCGCGCCCCTGACGCCACTGAATTTTGTAAATTACGCAGCGGGCGCGCCCCCGAGACCACGAATCCGCCTTGCGGAGGCTGCCGAAAAGGCGCTCCCCCTTTCCAAAGCAGAAAAACAGAAATTTTCTGTATTGGGATATGTGCTCCGCTGGTATTCTTTTGCCCCTCCCCGTTTCTGGAAAATTCGGCGGTGGGTTCCACAGTCACCCCCCCAGGCCACGATCCCTCGTAAGTTACGCCACATTTGCGCCCCCGAGGCCACGATCCCGCGCGAATTACTCAACATTCGCGCCCCCGAGGCAACGATCCCTTGTAAATTACGCCGCTGTCGCGCCCCCCACGCAAAAATCCCTCGTAAATTACGCCGCATTCGCGTCCCCGAGGCCACGATCCCTCGCAAGTTACACAAAATTCGCGCGCAGCCCCCACGCTACGAATCCACCTCGCGGAAGCTGCCCAAAGGCGCCACTCCTTCTCCAGAGCAGAAAAATAACCTTCCCAGAGATTGCCTGAAGCAATCCAGAGCCGTTCCCAGAGCGCTCCCAGTGAACAACTGGAGGAAAATGCCAAGAAGGCAACTGTTTTGCTCATCGCCAGCCGCCCTAGCATGACGTTTCTGAATGTCATCAAGGCGGCGCCCGAACATCCCAATATAGCTCTGATGTATCCCATTATGATAGAGAGGGGGCCGGCGGCAGGGGGCGAAGCCCTTACGGATAAC